TCATTCATTCATTCATTCATTCATTCATTCATTCATTCATTCATTCAACATATATGAGTGCTCTGCGTGTACACCTGCATGCAAGAAGGCTTTAGATCCCTGTATAGATGGTTGTGAGCCACGATGCGGTTGCTGGGAACTGAACTTAGGACCTCTGGAAGAGCAGACAATGCTCTTAACCACTGAGCCATCTCTCCAGCCCTATTTGAACAAATTTTATCTTAGATAATTTCCAAATTTATCTGGCCAACTCCTGCCAGATTATTGTATTTCAAACAAATCTAAATCCTAGCTAGAATATTATCCATCTGGTGACCAAAATAAACTTTATTTTTATAGCATCATACTCCTAAACCTCTCAAGATAAAGCTTCTTGAAAGAAGCTTTCAAAGATGTGTGGCATCTAAGCGAAGCTGAGCAGCAACCAAAGGTTTTGCTTTGATAACCGTTCCCATTAGAGGTATCATAACATTGCTTTCATCCTCACTTAGGCCAGTAAAGGTGGAACCAGAGGGGAGTTCAGAAACATGGTGGTAAGGAGATGTTTGCAGGTGATATAAAAAACAAAAGGGCAAAATCTGCATACTTACATTTTTCAAAGCACAAAATTTGCAACCTCAGAAGGCAGAACTTTGCTAATCACTTATCACTCCTAAGATGATTCAATCAATCGTTCAGTAAAGTTGAAAGAAGCCTGTCTGAGACCATACCCAGGTTGTGGCAGGTAAGGAGAAAGTGCTCCCTGAACATGAAGATGGTTCTCCCATTATGACTGAGTCTGTAAACTCTCAATGCAAACAACATTTTGATGGCTTTATAGGTATGTGTGTGTTTCTCATGTGTATAGTTACATCCATGGTTTGGGGCTCAGACCTACTATCAATACCTGCCTTTTGGAACCTCTGAGATATATGAAGTTTTATTTGTTTACTTATTCCTTTGTTAAGTACATGGATGCAATTTCCCCTAAGCATTATTATAGAAAAATGAAGACAAAATGTAATTTCATTTTTGTAGGAGATCTAATAGGAAATAACCTAAAAGATGACAACAAATCTTTGTTCGGAGTTTTGGATAACAGAGTAACAAGGAGCTGGGCTGTCAATAGGTGATATGAGTATGTGCCTACAGCTTCTTATGGAAAGTTCTAACATATAGGGGTTCCAATCAATTTTGTGTGTGTATGACTCTATTGAATACACTTTTATTCTTCTTCTAAATAATTAACATAAACTACCGACAAGTTCTTAAATTTTTTTTCTGCCTTTGGCAATTCTGGGATCAAACTTGTAGCATGGCAAATCTAGATAAGCACAGAGCTTCATCCCTACCCTCTAAAATACTGATTGTTATTATTTTAAAATTTTATTTACTTTTTATGTGCATTACCTGCATTCATGTCTGTGAGGTTGTCGGATCCCCTATAACTGGAATTACAGACAGTGCGAACTCCTATGTGGGTGCTGAGAATTGAACCCAGGACCCTTGGAAGAGCACCCAGTGCCATCTCTCCAGCCCTATTATTATTATTATTATTATTATTATTATTATTATTATTATTATTATTA